GCGCTTCACAGAATATACTATAAGGTGATCTCAGCAGCTGATTTGCACACAGCGGTATCCCACAAACAGCGAAGAAATTAACGTTTTTTTCTTATCTGAGAACCAGCCTATATTCTTATGTCTATTGCAAGAAGTGCCTGATTTGATTATTTCAGAAACAGCTATTTTAGATTGCGACAACTGGTGCCAAAATCTCTCTTCGTTGGCTGTCAGTATTGAAAGGCAGCAACATGGAAGTTTCCAAGTCAGCAGTGGGTTTATTTTCTGGCAGCTGGCCAGAAATTTTTTCGGAAAATTTCCCCAATGACTGGACAAGCTTTTCACAGGCCATCAATATATTAAAAAATTGCCTTTATTTATTGCTGTTGCCTTTGAAAGCAGGATAAAAAAATATCTTGGGAAATCATGAAACCTACATTATTTCAATATAGAAACTTCAGCTGGACTGTGGTACAGGGTTGATCTAACTGGATGTTTTATTTTATGAAGTGTGTTCATAGCCTTTAAGCAATTGAAAGGATGATGTGTTAAAACAGAATGCGAAATAGATGTATTTTGCTGCCAAATTCAACAAAAATTTAAATGTTTTGTGTTTTGTTTGAGAGAATTCAAATGTATTTGTTGTGGTGGATAACTGTGGCAAAGGGGCTTGGAAAAAAGAACCTCTGTACTAGCGTGGTTTTTCATTCCAATTAGTAATGCTGCATTGTTTTTTGTGGGAGAGGATCCCATCATAGCAAGGGATGGAATTTGTGTGCGGTGTGGTGCTCTTTGTTCATACAGTATTTTTGACTTGTCCTTCCCACATTCTCATGCATGTGGAGATTCTGATCATTTGGCTGCATGCCAGTTATTCCTCCTGTTTTTTGGCATCAGGAGTCTTGTGCTCTTGACACTTATGCTTTCTTAAGTGCCAAGTGTCTTGCCATTTGAGCTTTCTGTGTCATCTGGCGACATTCTGGGCATGCAGAAATCTGGCCAAAGTATAATCAAAGCACTGAAGGGATCCTGGTTGCAGATCAGAAGTGACCTTAAAAACATGCTCTTAATAATTGTAGGAAAGTTCTGTGGTAGAACAGAATGAGATATTGGGCACTTTCCTGCAGTTATGAAGAGCAGCTTGAGAAACCTCATAGTGTAAATGCTTCCTGCATACATATATAAACTCAGAAACCTCTGACTCCACTTATCAACTGGGAATTTGCAAACTTCTATCTACTTTACACCTCTGACTCACAGCCACTCAGTCAGAAATAAATGTTGCTTTATTGCACAACTTGCAGGTAGTTGCACAACTCAAATTTATTGCACAACTCGAATCATGACCTCCAAGATCCACAGAACATTTACTGATCTGTAATTGGGTAAAGATCCCAACTCTGCGCTGGAAGGATCAGCAAATTAATCAAAATCCTAGATTTTTTCCCCCTCATATCTTCATTTGGAATCAGCAACTTTCTCTACATTCATTCTTCAGTGTGAAATCAGATGAAGGTATCCACCATCTTCTTTTCCCTCTCTTTACCCTAGCTACACAACCTGTCTGTGACTATCATAGTGAGCCCAGTCATTCAAGTAGTGCAACCTGGTGAACAGAATACAATATATTACTGCAAATTGTCATCACCATCCTACTACTGTTATCCATCCAAAGGCATCTTTTAAAATGACAGAGCTTTTGGATGGATCTCGGGGTGCAAATTAATCTACTCAAACAGAAATTAAGCCCCTTTCTACCTCTTTGCCTGGTCAATGAGATCTAGGTAATCAATTATAATAATAATTGTTGCATTTGATATTATCGCATCGTCAAGATAATAATACTTGCATTTGATACAGCGCTTTTCACCTGTTCTAGACGTCTCAAAGCACTTCACAGAATATACTGTAAAGTGAATTGACTGTATATTTGTGGGCGAAACACGATACCCAATTGAGATGTCTCAAAGTGGTTCACAGAATATACTGTAAAGTAAATTGACTGTATTTTGTGGGCAAAAGTGTCATCGTGACATCCAAGCTCATTACACTGGCTAGCATATACAGCTGAGCTTGACAGTAAGAACAGCCTGCCTGGATCACTCCTGGAATAGGTTGTATCAAGGATGAACATACTTTCCCGCCTGCTCTACCAAGCCAGACACTATCAGTCAGTGTCCCTGCAGAGCAATTCTACATCATTGACTGACACATCTCCAAATTCCTTTGAGCAGCTGTAAGACCTGCCTCAGGTACTCAAAGCAACCCAACAGAAGGGAGAATCAGCATCCAGATTTTTGGCCACTGATGTTTGGTACCAATTTTATCGTGGTTAACTATCTGAATACTAAATTAACAGAATGCTGAATTTCCCAATTGGTTGGTGTTCTAATTCTTTGAACTTCTCAAAGGAAAAACTGCTTTATTTCCATACATTTATTTGTTTTGCTAGAATGTAATCCAGACAGATCATTATTAAAATCCTAAATCCGGTGTTTTTAAATCGACACATTTCACATTCTGTGTGTTTTTTTTGTAATGTGCAGATATATAGTCATGACATATACCTTTAACCCCAAAATATGTGGCAATTATATCAGTTCATTGCATCTTATCTGAAACTATACCATCAAATGTATGTTACTGATCTTATATGAAAGTTGTAGCTAGTGTTCTATGACACAAGAAAAATGTACAGTGCTAAAGGCATTTTAAGTGCATCTGTTCTTTTTATATTACTATGGTACTGTTGGTACCCATGCAGAACAGAAGAGAAAGTGGTGCACATCTAGTATCCATGGCAACATTTTTAACCATTTGCTTGGAGCTAGTGTCTCGCCAGCAACAAATGGCTCCTATCACTAAACTAGCTTTCTCAGAATGCTAACTGTTTTATTAAAGGCCTGAAAATGTTTTCTTTTGAGATTGGAAAATTGAACCTTTCCATTTATGCTTTCTAAAGTCTCAAAAAGCATAAAAAAGACAGCACGTGACCATTGGTGCTGATGTTGATGCTTTTAAATGTAGCAACCCTCTTAAGCTGCAGTGGTGACTTACCTGCTACTGCCACTCTTTGTTTTATTCCTCTACCTGCTTTTTCATGAAAATATTATATCTAATTTTTTCCTGGGCGTTGTTCACAAATCTTTTCAAATTCCACTAGGAGACACTGACTGGCTTGAGAAGACTTTTTGCTCCAGGCTGTACTCTCAATGCAGCAGTGTGGCAGTGATAGGCTGTACCATATCACTGTAGCATGGTGTGATGATGCTCCCTGTGTTGTGCACCAATGTCTGGCCTGCAGATAGTTTTAACAGGACTCTCAATTTAAAAGGAAAGATGTCCTGGGGGAGAACTTTCTATTCAAGGAACTCTCCCAGCTATAGAAGAAATTGGATTTGTGGACACATTTGGTGAGAAGTACCTGAGTCCCACTTTAGGAATTGCTAGAATCCTCGGGTGACCGTGCCTTCAGCTCCCCTCTCGACTCTCTACCCCCTCCTCGCTCCCTCCCTTCCCTCCCCTCACCCTGACCATTCTCCCCCCTGCTCGGGTCCTGACCCAACTGTACAGCGCCTTGGGACGTCCTCCCGACGTGAAAGGCGTTCAATAAATGGAATCTTGTTGTTGTTGTTGTTAACAACAATGACAACAACAATTCTACTACCCACCATGAAGTCATCAAACTTTCGCTAAATAATCTGATTAATATCTCATCTCCAACACCCCCTCCAATAAATCGTTGCTGTGTGTGTTTCAAAAATGTTGAACTAGGGTCAAATTTGGATTCTTTCTCTGTTTATTGATTGAATTCCATTGGTATTTGTTTCCTTCAAAAACTCAAGAGTTTCCAGTGATTCGCGATACCATCCTGCGTAAATGAATGCAAGTTGTTGTTGATAGTGGGGATTGTTACTATTATCAAAATCCAATCAACAAAATAGTTTTTCTGAGAATGTACTGAATCGAACTATTGTTTGAATCTGGCCTCATTCTACTTAGTCTTTTTAAAAATAAGTGGAACTTTTTTGAAATCTGGAAAGGGTATTTCAGTCCTCAAGGAGTTAAGTGAAGATCAAGAGCATTTTCAAAGATGTGAAACCTCATATTGCCAGTGGGTAAATGGATTTAAAAAAATAGATTCTGCATATTGTTTGTGAAGAGTGGGTTTGTTTGAATAGTACTTTGTTGACTGAATGAATCCCGTATATAATATACACAATCCTGATATTGATTTTCACTAATTTTAGAACATCTGAAACTATTTTTCCCATAATAACTTAGGTCAATAATGTATTCACTGAAACCAATCCTAACCTGGTAAATTTGCAATCTTGCCTTAGATATTCAGCCTTTTTATACTATCGAGATTCAGTTGGACCAATAATTAGTTTTTATATGAATTTACTGAATAAGTGGAAAACAAATCAATTGTTGTAATGGCAGTCTTCTCAGTCAAGAGATGCATTTCTAAACAAGTATAATACAAAATTAAATTTGATTAGCGCCTTTCATGTCAAGAGGATGTCCCAAGGCGAAGTACACTTGAGAAATTCGACCCAATGGTCTGTCGAATGTAGACAACCGATTCTAATCCAATCTGTGTTCACTGCTATTTTTAAAAGTCACAAAAGGTTTACCTAACTGTAAAGAGAAGAACATGTAACAATCAGAGAGCATTGAATCAAGTGTAGCTACCAAAGGTAAATTAAGATAATTTAGGATAATCATTTATTATAGCAAAAGGAAATGCTTTCTTCTTCAATTATTGATTCCAATTAGTTTTTTGTAAGAAACAGAAAAGGCATTTGTATATATAATACCCAGTAATCACACTACGCATTATATTGTGAAAAACGCTTTTGAGACGTCATCCCAATGTGAAAAGCGTAATCTGAATTGTAAGGATTATTACTAAGAAAAATGTATTTTCAAATTCAGGAGAAGGAGATGCTCCAGATTTGCATGGCCTAGTGCTGTTGAATAATGTTGTTTAGCCAATTCTCTTTTCTTCCCCATAGGATAAAACATCTTATTTGGATATAATTCACACCTACACAGAAGTCCACGGCACCGTTCATGGGACTGTTCGTGGAGCGAGCACAGCTCACATTCCCGGTTATGTGAAGAATCATGGTATCGTGAGCGGACGTGACCTACAGCTTCTACTGAGAGAAACCAAGGTAGAATACCATATTAATGTATTGTCAAGTGGCTTTTGACCCAAAGTGGAAAGGTTCACCCACATCCTGTAGTAAGTAAGTCTTTAATATTCTTACAGTGCTGTTTACTGCTGTTCTGCTTCAAAACTTGCTCCAAATACATCCATCATTGATTCTTTTTCATTTATAAAGTTATTTAGTAACTACCTGGACAGTTTGTCAATATGGACACTATCTGAATATAACCGTGAGCAGCTCATGCACTTGTGAAATTATGTGTTAAGCTTCACATTTAAAAAAAAGAAAATTGCCTTGTCAGCTTCATGATATCACTGCAAATGTTATCGACACTGAGCAGAGCTTGTTTTTCATGTTTTGAGTGTGCAAGTATGAGCAATTGCTCATACTGCTTCTCTTCCTTCCCCTTCCACCCACCCCCCAACTCAAGGGCATTAGCAAGCAGCAAGAATTGTGCTGCCCATCTGTTAAAAAATCACCTGACACTGCACCACTTGATGCAGCATAACCAGCACTATACTGGTGATCTCATGACAATGCTGATCAGGCTGCAGTCTGTGATCTGTGACCATGTTGTCTCTTTTAAATAAAAAATATTGAGTTGAATACCACACAACAGAAAACGTTAGGTATACTCTATATATACAAGTCCTTATTTTGTATCCTGGATTTGATTGCTTTGGGATTTTTGAAATGTAAATAATTTTCACAGAGCTGCCTTGATTCCTTCCAGAACTGGGGCATGTCTCATGAGTTTTCCTCTTTAATGCTTGAATTGCTCATTCTTAGCAACATTGTGTCTATTGCCATTCAATGTATTTCATGACTTAATATTATCAGTAAGTGTGCAGTTTCTATTGTATTTATGCATTCGTGCCTTCAGCCACTACACCCCAAAACTCTGGAACTCTCTCCCTCAATCCCTCCGCCTTGTCCCCTCCCTCCCCACTTTCAATTCCTGCCTAAAGATCTTCCTTTTTGACTGGGCTTGCGGTCACCACCCACCTCCCTTTGCCCCTGGCTCAAGGTCAGACTCCGCCACTGTCAAGCACTCTATCCCGTGTGAAGGGCGCTATATAAATGTAACTTGTTGTTTATTGATATGTACTCTTGGCACATAAATAAACCCAGAACATAGGTCTATTTCCATAAAAATGCTGAATGCAATGAAAAATCTAGATTTTAAAACTGAAGCAAAGTACTAAACTGCATGTCACCTTTTTGGCATTTAAACATAATTTATGAAAATTAAATTTACTCAATGTTGTGAGTAAAGCATGTTTTGGGAATATTACTCAGATTTTTATTTCAACATTTCCATAACAGAAATATAAAAAATGTTAAGGATACTAACAGAGTCATATCATTAAATTGCAAAGTAAGTTGGGTAAACTGAAATAGGAATTATGTTAATAATCTAGTCAAAATGTTTTAAAACTGAATTGTATTTAATAGGCCATCTAATTATTATGTGAGGTGATTTTATAATTAATTGAGTACAAGTTCATACAGAATGATTGAATTTCTGAAACCTGTCACTAAAGACAGGAATTATAAAGGATTCTGGAAGAATTTATTTGTTTTCAATGTCAGTTGTCGTAGAATTCAAAATGAAAAATAAATTTATCTGTTGTGACAGTATGAGGCATGCCTATAAAATTGTTACACCATAAAATGTAACTAGTATCTTATCTCAAAATGTATGGTGTGAGTAATCTATATCACACACCCATGGATTTTGCAATTGTTTCTCAAGAGAGAACTTGTACACTATTATAGTTTCGCAGGAAAAAATTGTTTGCAATGACTAATTTCTACCACACAACACATGTTCTATAATTGATGAATTGAGTGAGATTGAAAACTTGTACAGTGTATTTGTTAACTACATGGTTTGAAATTTTTGAACATGTTGATCTGATACTGTGAGAAGATATACTGCCATCTGGTGTTTCGTTGCACCGGTTGGGTGTCTGCAAGGATTTGGTATGTTCTTGTGGTTATGAAGTTATCACCAATAAATGTAATTCAACATACTTTGACCCTTCTGTAACTATTATCTCATGTTTTTGGCAATATTATTCAGAAAGGTATTTGTTATTGAATGAAACTTGGAATAGTTACTGAAAGGGAGTGTTCAGTGGAAGGGCCATGTTTATTCCATTAGTTTTTCTTTCCTCTATGGTCATTAATCCTAATTTCCACAAACAAAGTTATTGTGCAACATGTGGTGTTCTGGGTTTAATCCTTGTGTTGGCATAAATTTAACATGTCCTGTCTGATGAGCAAAACAACCTGCAAACTTCAGGTTTTAAGCATGTTTTTTAAATATTGTACTAACATCGCTAATTAAATTCTCTGCCTTTAGAAAATAATCCCAAATCTAAAATATTAGCAAGATTTATATATGATCTGGATTTTGTATAGCACCTTATTGAATCATCTCAAAGCACTTCATGAATAATTGTCAACTGTCGTGATTATTTCTGGCAAACATGGCAGCCAACTTCTCCAGGAAGGTTCCAAAAACAACCAAGAGATGAATGACCAATTAATTTTGAAGATTGTTGGCCGAACCCTTCTCTTTTTTGTGTTGTCTCTATGTTGTATTTTTTAATGTCTCACCCTAAAAGGTAGATGGAGCTCATTAGCATAATACCTCTGTCAATGAAGTGCTCCCCAAGTACAACACCTGGTCTATGAGCTCAAATCCTGAATTTACTTCTGTTTCTTTTAAAAGAACTGTTTTATCTAATGTGATTTGAAATGTTTTTAAAGTGCTGTCGATTGGTGACTTTTTTTTAAGTTGTTGAAACAGATGGATGGAAAGAAAATGAGTAAGCAACAACTTAAGTAAACATGAATATGTTCAGCAAAATTTTGATTCCTTTTTTTAGGAAATTGGGGCTGTTGAACTTCATTGTTTTTTTCCTCCTGCAGTTTGGCTTTGCTTCTTTATACATGCTGATAAATTGTCTATACTTTTTGTTTCACCATAGCTTGTCCATTAGCTGACAGCTTTTCTTATGTCACTTTGCAGGCCTGATAAATTTTATTTTGCTCATCATCAAAACATGAAAATAAACCGGTTGAACATTGCTGCTAAAACAAGATTTTATTGCTTAAAGCTGTTGAGAAAGGATCATTAATATGTATAGATTTAGGAGGAAAATATAAACCGCGTTAAAAGATCATTTTTTTGTTGCTTTTTACTCCCTTGATTTAGGTTTGTCTATCAATATATTTTTGATATTGTAGCTCCAACTTCCACTTGATGGCCAGTGATTTAATGCCAGGAAAAAGCACCCAAAGGATTTTAAAAATTCTTTTATTCTGCTCCACTAAATGGATTCTCTGTGCCAGATCGAGCAGACTTGTTTACGACTCTTTCTCTCTCCGATTTTAACAGAGTGCTTTTTAACTTGTGCTTCTTTTATTGTTAGACTTTTGGCCTTGATGCTGCACTATTTTGAACGCTGAACTGACACTAAAAAGTATAACATAAAGCGTCTGAGAGCATATTGTTGCATTTCTTTACACCAGTAGTGTGGCTGCCTAAAAAAGGTGATCCTGTACTGGCAGTAATGTGTATTGACTGCCTATAAATGCAGCTGATGAGAGACAGCTCTCAGCCCACACACAGCCGCTGCCAAAGATTTGTAGTTTCCTTTCTTTCAATATGAAATGACTAGTTGGATTGGGAACATCAAAGGTATATGATGTCAAAACCAGATGTTTTAAAATGAAAGTAGTTTTCCAGCAAGGAAGTATTTCTAAAGATGCTTTGTAGAATCTTGCATAATGATTCAATGCAGTGTGCTGTTGGGCTTCTTTAAAACTTTTTGGACTTTTTATGTGAAAAATATCGCGTTTGCAATATACTTCACATTTCAGTGCATTGTATAAAACTCAAAACATTCAACTTGTTACACCATTGTGAACCTTACTATTGCATTTGTACGTGTGTCACTGAGCGCATGCTGAGGAGGATCCTTATGGTCAATGTGCAGAAGCCAAGCCCAGCAATCTAAACCCCTATTACTGGCCACTTTCTAGTGAAAACAAATATTCTGTCATAGAAGTAGTACAATATGGTGTAAGGTGGTAAAGGGCAATACTACAATACTCAAACAAAAATCTGTGTACCACATACATATGTTAAATTATAGTTTTAAGTAATCCTTTATGGTATTATTTTTGCTTGTAGTGTTCTCTAAAAACATATGTAAGTACTGCAAATAGTCATAGAGGACTGGGTAGGGCAAAGCAGTATATAAAAGCTGTTGAATTCTCCTTTAGTATTCCATGTTGACTTCTACAGAGATAGATTTTTCAGCAAACTGAAGTCCTACTTGCTTGCTGGAACTTAAGATATCTAAGGAGGCATGACAATCTTATTTTACAGTTATTTGTTGGCCTTGGTTTTCCATATGAAGGCCCTGCTCCTTTGGAAGCTATTGCTAATGGATGTGCTTTCCTGAATCCAAGGTTCAACCCACCAAAAAGCAGTAAAAACACAGAGTTTTTCAAAGGCAAGCCAACCCTGAGAGAGGTGAGTATCTCCGGGGAATGTAAACTCAAGAATGCAACAAATATCCTATCTAAATTCCTTTCTGATTTATCTCTCGGGTTTAGTCTGTACTGCACGTTCTGTTTGAAGGAACAGTTCATAATAGAAATTCTGAAACTGACACATATTGATGAAGAGCCCAATGTTGCTGCATTTAAAGCAGCTGAAAGTTGTAGCATGGATGATATCTTCTACCAGCCTGATTGACTGATATTGTTATTACTCGATTACTGAGCTGTTTATTAAAAGACAAGTTTGCAGCAATTTTCCAGCCACAATTAATTTTGTCTATAGAAAACAAAAGATGTTTCACATCACATTGGATGAGATAATAAACCGAATGTTGCCTCACAAAGAAGGTGATGGATGTTAGCAGCACTTGCATGTAGCAAGCAATCCACAAGAAATGATGTCAGCTGCGACTTGATGACCGAAAAGTCAGCCATTGAACTTTTAATTTATAAATTAATTTTAAAGATAAATTGTAAAACTAAAATCAGTTTGTCTGCATTTCAGGTTTATTTACCATTGCATTTTATTGCAGTTGACTTCACAGCACCCATATGCAGAGTTGTACATTGGGAAACCCCATGTTTGGACTGTTAACATTGATGATCCTATAGAGGTGGAGAATGCAGTGAAGGCTATTCTTAATCAAAAGGTAAATTTAGCTCAAACCCTAATTAAATGAACAGTGTTAATTGATCTTTCACCCACAATATATACAGTCAATTCACTTTACAATATATTCTGTGAAAAGCTGATCAATTATTTACTTTAATAATAATAATAATCCTTGCATTTGATATAGCGCTTTTCACGTCGGGAGGACGTCCCAAAGCGCTTCACAGGACACACTGTGAAGTGAATTGACTGTATATTTGTGGCGAACGCGGCAGCCAATTGCGCACAGCAATGTCCCACAAACAGTCGTAGATTGAAAATGACCAATTTATTATTGTTTTTGGTTTTGGAGGGATTATTATTAGGCTCTGTGTGGAGTAAGGAAACTTGCCCAAGGTTTCGCCCTGCCGGGAATTGAACTCAGGTCTCTCACTTGCAAAGCGAGTGCTCTAACCAATGAGCTACAGGACTCCACAGGTCATGTACCCTTAGTCCATTAAGCCTTATTTAGTTTCCTATAATCGGGTGTCAATCTGGCTCAGTTGATAACACTCACACTTCTGAGTGAGAAGGTTGTGAGTTCATCCCTAAATTGGGACTTTGACTCACAGTCTCTGCTGACTCTCCAATATAGTGCTGGGAGAGCATTGTTGGAGGGGCAGTCCTTTGGATGAGACAATGATCCGAGATCTGCCTGTTCAAACACTATTTGAGAGGGGAGTTTCTTCCCGATGTCCTGGTACACATCCATATATAATAAAAATTCTTACATTTGATACTGCGCCTTTCTCGTCAGGAGGACGTCCCAAAGCACTTCAGAGGATACTTTAATGTGTTATTGATATGGAGGTTGAAGACTAGGAATCCTGAATTCCTGGTCTCCATTTATGTTTACAACTAAATGTTGTCTTAAGTGTAATCATCTGAAATGAATTCATGCATTGTCCTTTCACTTATGGAATCTGACTTCAAATCGAGGCCAGGCTGAATATCTGGATCTATATAGGACCATATCACAAAGTTGCTTACAACTACACAAATGTATTTGTCATTAAGATGGCTGGAGTGAGGAGGTAAGAATGCGTTTCTGAGTTTGGAGTTGAAAAGGAAGAGTGGGGCTAGCTTTACTGGGGAACATTTCATCCATCTGTTCAACTGTGAACATTTCCGTTCAACATTTGATAGGAGAATGCAACAACATTGCCACTAGAAAAGGTACTAAATATCTAAATTAAAATACTTAGTTGGTTGAATGCCTGACAACAGATGGTTTTCTTTTTCATAGATTGAACCATATTTGCCCTATGAATTCAACTGTGAAGGAATGTTGCAGAGAGTTGGTGCTTTTATTGAAAATCAGGTAATGTTTCTTTTTGATCTCATAAAATTATCTCAAAAGTATTGTCTGCTAAGAAAGGGAAATTACTATTTAATGGAACACTGTTTCCATATTCTTTGAGTATAAAATTAGTGTTGGAGGTTCCTTATTGTAGCTTCTAATTAAACAGTGATAATTACAGTATTTATATACTGTTTGGAAGAACTATTTTTTGTGCTGCAATTGAGTTTTTAGCTCCAATGCAAATACTGTCATTTCCAGGGAACGTAACATAACTTTGTAGAAAACCTGAAAGTATCCTTCAAATAATAGCTTTGTAAATATTTAAATACCAACTATTCAGTCAGTTGCTTATACAAATACTTACTGGAGCTCCATTTGGCCACCATCTTTCTTTTTCTGTGAAGCCAAATTTTTACTAATTAAGTTCCCAGTGTCGTCATTCCATTCATCCTTCTCCCACCATTCTTTCCATGCTTAAAATCTGGCAAAGTCTCTACAGCAGACCAGAGCTAAGCCAGAAGCAAAGCACTTGTGAGAATAGGTGGAAACCCATTGGATACAATAAGGGAGCACTGTGCCAGGAGATGTGAAAATTGCACAAAGCAGCCAGTAGGAAGTGCCAGTATTATTTGAATCAGGAGAATGCAGATGCATCGAATGATTTCATTCTCAGAGAGCAACATTCAGTTAAAATGAACAATAGATAACATAAATACACAATTTTTTCAGACACAGTATTGTACAAGGTTGTTCCAGATTGTGAATTTAATTTTGTGCTGCTGTACATGTGGGATTTCAATCAGAAGTGCATGGCAATTTTAATCTTAATTCTCACAGTTAAGGTTGAAATGCATGCAGAATGCTTTTTAGACTTTCTTAGACAAAACCAAATGACAGCCCTTGATTAGTGCAAGTTATGCCTTATCGCACTTATAGTAAGTACGTTGATCTTTGTGATGGTGACATTTCACTCAACATTATAGGATTTCTGCCACGGTCAAGTGATGTGGCCTCCATTGAGTGTGCTTCAAGTAAAGATTGCATCTTCAGGAGAATCTTGCAAGCATGTCTGCCAAGAGAATAAGCTTGTCTGTGAACCTTCCTTCTTTCAACATTTGAACAAAGACAAAGACTTGCAAAAGTAAGCATTATTAATCACAGAATAAATCATGTGAAGTGTGTGTAAAATTGACCTCAAAACACTGCAAAACACTCACTGAAATAGCATATAAGAGTAAATTCATTGTCTGCGGTGAGTTAGGTGGTCTGCTTAAGAGCAGCTATTCAGCTATTGGTTTGGGATATTCACCAGTATTATTGATCATTGCTTTGTGAGGCCTGCTGAAAAATGTATATTTGTGGTTGTTGCGGCTGCACATTTGAAAACAACCGGTGGCTCAGCTGTGATGTCTGTTATGGTCTGACAACCTTCATCCAGCCTGACATGGAGTGATCACTTGGGTAAAGTGTCAAGAGAGCTATCTTAAACCCAAGGAGTTGAAACATCCAGGAGAGAGTGTGTGTGTGGAGGAGTGGCCCCTGGTATAGTTGACTTATATACAAACTATATAAAGTAGTGTATTCAATATGAAAGTTTGTTTGAATAACTATTTATTAGCATGGAACAAATGTTTCTTTACTTTTCACAGCTTCAGCGCCTTGGGACGTCCTCCCGAAGTGAAAGGTGCTATACAAATGTAATCTTGTTGTTGTTGACAACAACATTTTGTCAAGGGTACAGGAAGTTAACATTTTAGAACAGTGGATTTTTTTTGTGAGACAACTAAAAACTGACAATATGGAAATTAATAGCAAAAGGTGCTTTAAAATCATTTGTATTGAAGTTGGTTTGCTAGCATGTGCATGATAAATTTTGAGGTAGTTAACTCTGTTTCATCTCTTTTTCCATGCAGGTATGGAATTGATTGCCAGTCATCTGAAACTGTGAATGATATTATTGTTCCAGCATATGATCAATCCAAAAAGCACTGCTTCTTTCAGGGTGATCTGCTGCTCTTCAGCTGTGCGGGTTCAAATGGAAACTATGAACGGATCTGCCCCTGTAAAGACTATATGAAAGGACAAGTTGCTCTATGTCAGAATTGCCTATAGCAGCTGCTCATTCCTGCACACAGTAGTCGGTGCACAATGCAAGTAACAGTAGGTCCTTATGAGAGCAGAACACTCATGATACATAATATGCAAAGGTATTGACTTTTGTCTTGGAAAAGAGACAGATTTCTTCAATGCAAGAAGTCTGCAAGGGTAGGAGAAAAACAAGTTTCCGTATTTCATTTTGGAAGAATAAATGCTGACCTGGTCCAGTTGATGATGGGAAAAAAACTGCTTAATGGACAGAAAGCAAACAAAATCTTGACTAATCATTCAGATTTATTTAAAATTCTTGTCTAACAAGGAGAGATCCTTCCTTTGAGGACTAACGAAATGCAAATATAAATAGATTACTACTTAAAGGACCATATTCTCAATTCAGTTCAGAAAATCATATCAAATACCCGTTAATCTATTGAGTTAGGTAACTGGTGATAAATCAAATTCAGCAAAGGGACAGTGCATTCCAAGTGCATTCTGAAAGCAGCAAGACTTTACTTTTGAAGGTCAAGAAAGATTCAGCAACAATATCCCAATATAGACTGAGATAATGGCAACAAGAATTATGATGGTGGCATGGGATATTTAGAATAATGTTTGATTATGATATTTGGCAACTATTTAATTATGAAGAAAATAATACTATATGAAGGGTTTTACATTATGATTTGACTTTGTGTAGTACATTTTTGATGGTTCAAAAGAAGGTCGTCCCTGTGGTAGTATGACGTCCAAAATCAATGGATTCCAGTCAAATATTTGTAAATGTGTGATTTATGTACTTAGCTTTGCAGAAAACTATTAAAATAATTTGGTGGCAATGTTTTCAGAATTTTAGCCAGTCTGTCGATCCTACTTTGATGTATTTCATTCTATAGCTAGAAAGGAGCTTAATGGCCATTTTAGCAGGAGAAGTTCAATGGTGGTCTTGTTTAAAAGGATGAGTATTTCACATTTTCATTTGATTCTAAAACAAATCCTGGTGTGATTTTTTTTAAATCGGCAGTTTGCATGATTACATCATGGTTTCTGTATAAATGAGGTGGAGCTTCATATCTTTGCACTTTCATTTCAGCTCAGGAGTGTACACATTTAAGCAGAGTATTAAATCATTGTTTTTATCAGTTACAAATAACGTCAGCTATTTGCCTCCTTTACTAAGTATATGGGTGTATTGCAAAACCTCAGGAGAATGTCTTGTAGTTTAAGACACTTGACATGTTGACATGACAGTTGACATGTTCTGACGAAGGGTTGTGGGCCCGAAACGTTCACTCACTTTCCTTTCTCCAGCCTGACCTGCTGAGTTTTCCCAGCTCTCTCTGTTTTTGTCTCAGGAGAATATCGATCACTGCTCACCAACATGTATTAACTGATCGAGTGAATCAATCTCATTGCAATAAAGAATAAATGTAGACTAAAATCAACACAAGGATCTATTGGTGTTTCCCATTACTGCCTATAGGTTTACTGTGAGATATTTGTATTAATGTAAAGATATTAACATGATTGTTAATTAGATTGTGGTAACATTTGACGATCATAGGCTCCTTTGATCACACAACCTTTGTTTCCATTTTCTATTTAATCCAATCATGTTCTCTTATTTGTGGTAGCGCAAATTGTCCCATTAATTCTTATTAGGTTCATCAATGGTTCTAGGGGTACTTGTACGGAAAAGGACATTTAAAAAATCTGGCCCATAATAAGTATAATCGATAACATTTTAGATTGACTTTTGGAACCTTAGAAAAGGCAAATAATAGCAGACTTATCCAAACAAATTTGCACATTTGTATATAAAAAATTAACAATTTAATGTTAGTCGCTTTGTATTTTGCTTCATTGTTTGTGCTTGTAAATATTAAACATGTTTCCTGTAATTGAGATGCTATATAATGTAAATTACGTGCCTTTGAGGGTAGTAAAGTTGCTTTATCAACTTATACAAATGCTAAATATACACTTCATGGCAGGCAAGGTTAAAAAAATGTACATTATTGTGAAGTTAGAAAATGGAGCAAAATGGTTTTCCTGTATATTTGCGCAAGTGCTAAGTGGTATATGATTGAAATAATGTGTGCTTTGAAAGCTGGACTTGAGAGCTTAAAGACTTTGTTTTCACAGTTTTTGATGATGAACAGGNAAAAAAACCTTTATTTTTCAATAAATCTTTTCTGTGAAGAAGATTTCTTTCACTGCGTTGTACGTCTTTGAAGTATACAGAGTAACCGTTCAGTACAAACAGCTTTAATCTGTAGCTACTTGTTTCATATCTAGAACATTTAATTCTGTATACCATAAATGCAAAAGAATTTGAACCACACCATGTACACATTGTTGTACTGTTTATATAGTAGTTAACATCAGATTTTACAACAGAACTTCCACCAAGCTAACACTTCATTGTAGAAAGGATGGACATAGATCTAAATTCCAATCATTGTGCTCTCTTAAATGTGCTGAATGTATTCAATTACTTGTACTAAATTAGCTAGTCTTTAAAATCAGGCCTTCCTGCGCTTGGCTAATTTTGTTATTTCAATCAGCTTTCTACAGCCATTGAGGATTGTACAAACCATTCACAATAACTTTCACAAAGAAAATAAGAGATCTTTGGGTATTTCAGCCCAGAATATAGGTAAATACATACGTAATCTGAGGACTGGACTGACCGGGAAAGGCAATGGAAATGATTAATTTCAACAACAACTGTTTGTTTATATTGCACCCTTCAGACATGTCTTGAAACGCTTACCAGTCTGAGCCGAAAGGAAAATCTTGGTAACATTTATCCAAGTACAAATCTATGTTGAGAGAAAATTTACGGAACAAGTGAACTAACAGACACAGCAGTTATAATCTAGCTCAGATGGTAGCATTCTTTTCCTTTGTCGAAAGGAAGTGGGTTTAAGAAGCATTTTGAGATTTTCAACTCACAGTCAAGCGTGACACAACAATCCTCCCAATTGCATTATCGGAGGTGCTGTCCTTCGGCTGAGGCGTTAATCTGAGATCCTGTCTGGCTTTTCAGATGAACGTTAAGATCGCATTGGCAATATTTGAAAAAAAGGGAGTTTCTCCAAGTCCTAGCCAACAATCCCACAGATAAAATTGGTTGTTTGATTCACAGCTTTTTGTAGGACATTGCACAAATTGGCTACCGCATTCACCTACATATTCATTACACTTTACAATAAATTCTGTGATGCACTTTTTATTAAATGCAAGGATTTTTTTTATTTTGAACACTAACAAACATTAGGAAATGCTTGTCTGAGTTTGTAATGTTGATATTTTTAACCAAGTTTTGTTGTGTGAACAGGTGGACACTTCTTTGTGTAATGTCCCAGTTTGCTCAGTCAGTTGACCATAAGAGGAGGGCAACCAAAATGATTGAGGGAATAGATACAGAGGAGAGCAACCACAAAATGATTGAGGGAATGGAGGTACTGAACTAAAAACACAGATTAGTTTTCTTTCAGGAAATAACATAGGATATAGTACATAGGTAGTTCAGGACATATGTGCATGCGACCGCCAGGAAGGTGGAAGGTGAGCCAGGTGGACCTTGATGTTTTTTGGTCTAGCATTTCTTAGTTCTTATCAAACTTGGGACCAGAAGTTCAAATCCCAGTGGATCAAATTACTATTCCCTCTTGAGGTTGACAAACATTAATGCACCTTCCAAAGATCTGCTCAGGCTGAGGGCAGGAGGAGGTAAGTGGGGTAGGGCAACCTTAACTTGATCAGCATTGTGAAATATCAGTGATAATAATATAAACTAGATGGTTACCATTATTATTGTGTTACATATTCAGTTTAAAGTTGGTAGTTAAATTTAGCTTAGCTGGATTTAAATTGAGCTAGATCGTATGGAGTGAATTGTGTGGCACTAACTTGTAATGATTTTACATATATATATATTCACAACAACTTTGCTTTAACTTTTTGGTCAGATACTACTTAAAAGAATTTTGAAAAATTTCTTAAGTATCTGATAAAAAAATCTTTTTTTTTTTACAAAATTGCTAATTTACCTGAACAATTTAATGCCAGGAAAGACGTGTCTCAGAATTTGAAGATAACAACTGTAATTGGTTGTATTGCCCACGACCATTTGCCTATGCAACACTTCCATCCATATCAGTTACCCAAATAGCCCCTAGGACAATCCTTTGTTGCAGAAAATAAGTCAACAGTGAATGCAGCTTCTCATTAAACATCCTGTGATCGGTGAACAGGGCAAATTTGGAATAGAACTGCAGCAGGTTCCTCTTTCAGTCTATAATCAAATATCTTCTATTTAGGCTGCAGAGAGCACCCGGAATTTACTATCGCTTTGGGAATCAATGTGTATCAGCTGATAGCAGATGAAAGCAGTCTGGTAGCTTTACAAGTTTCATTGTTTGATTTCAGAGTACAATATTGAGATGGACAATTAACGCTACAGCTTTTAGTAAGCAAACTACCATTATGTTCAGATACCTTAAATGAAGACAAATATCTATGTGCAACATGATTTATAATATCTTTGCTCTGGCAGACTGTTGTAAATCTGTCACAATACGATATATGGTATGACATGTATGATGTCAGATGGTACTGAAATGAAAACAGTTTTCTTCTGTTGAAGTGGTTGACAAGTTCAAAATTATATTGAAATATTTTGATGCTGAACATTGTTAAGTCAATTTTTTATTGAAAAGATTGAGTACTTGGGGCTGAATTCCTCAAGAATTCAAGTGACCTAACTGGTCATTCTCTTCCCACTGAAATTTTGCTTTGGAAGTGATATTCATGCCATGTGAGAGTGAATAAATGTCAGGGGATTATATATTAAAAAAGAGTTGCAAATAGTCTTAAGAATTCAAAGAAAAGCTGCGTGCATATCAAAGCAGATCCTTGGTAAGACAACAACCATCATTGATGACAAATTTGTACAGGAGTCCTGTAGCTCAGTGGTTAGAGCACTCGCCTTGCAAGCTAGACACCTGGGTTCAATTCCAGGCAGGGTAAAACTTTGGGCAAGTTTTCTTACTCCACACGCCTGATAATAATCCTTCCAAAAACAAAAAACAATAATAAATTGATCATTTTCAATCCCCAACTATTTGTGGGACGCTGCTCTGTGCAATTGGCTGCCGCGTTTCACCCACAAATATACAATCAATTCACTTTACAGTATATTCTGTGAAGCGCTTTGAGACGTTGAGAAGACGTGCAAAGCGCTATATCAAATGCAAGGATTATTATTATATGTTCAGACTCATGCAGTGTATGTAGTAGAGCACAGGAGGGAACTCGCATCAACTTAAAACAAATTGAAAAGTACAACTCCCTGCATTTCTCCCATTGTCCTTAATCTTGTAGGATATGCTTGTAGAGATCTGTAACTCAGTGGTTAGAGCACTCGCATCGCAAGCGAGAGACCTAGGTTTGATTCCCGGCAGGGCAAAACCTTGGGCCAGTTTCCTTACTCCCTCAAGAAAGAAAAACAATAATAAATTGGTCACTTCAATCCACCACTGTTTGTGGGACACTGCTGTGCGCAATTGGCTGCAGCATTTCACCCACAAATATACAGTCAATTCACTTTACAGTATATTCTGTGAAGCACTTTGAGACGTCTAGAAGATGTGAAAAGCGCTATATCAAATGCAAGGATTATTATATGAAGAATGAGTATTACTCCTGTTTTGACCCTGTGGGTTATGAAGAATGAAAATTACTGCTGTTTTGGTGAATAATTACCAATTTACATAAATATTTAAAAATACCTATTCGTACACCTCAAACCTTTGAAATACTTAATTCTCTAACAAATGCACTTAAAAGTAAACCATTGAAGCTGAAAAAGTTTTGCAATGGTGCAAAAACAAATTGACTTCCTCATTCCCTTCATTCCAATAAGACGAAAGCTTTACTAATCGAAGTGCTTGTGCAAAAACATTTAAAAACATTCCTGGATATTAAATTATTCAATTATAAAATTTGTGATTACACAAAGTCAACTAACTGTAAAAGTTGCAAGCAAAAGACCAAAACAAAAACTAATCCGATTTGGTCAATGTCGTTACAAATGAATCTCTTGCTGCTATACAAATTGGAATTACATATCATGGTGTTTGTGATAACTAAAGTAATGGAAGTCATGCGTATGTGTTATGTGTGAACGTTTAGTTGTGATGGAAGGAATATTAACAAATTAATCAATTTGATAATTGCATTCTATTATTTCCATAATGCACTAAAAGGAAACAGTTCAAAATAGCAGAGGTGCATGCAACTCTGGAACTCTTAGAAGCTGATGACAAATTGAACCATTATATTTCACTTGACCACATCAGTTCTCATTTGCACAGCACAGTAGGAAACACTGGTATACGCACTTTACTACATTACCCTGTATAGTTTTTAACATAAATACAAAAGATTATCAATTTCTTCCGCATACAACAGAATGATGTCCAGTGTATATAACATCAATATCTGATTAGTTCATGGTTATGTTCTGTTGGGCTACAATTGAGAAATCGTTCCGTAGCAGCAATTTTTCAAACAGTCACTACTATTGCCTAGATTAGATTGATAGATTTATTCTAAGTTTTTTTTAGTTCTACAAGAAGATTGTGCCATCACCGCACCTTTTCATCATTCAAAGGTCTCATAGTTGTGAGTTTGTCTTACACGAGGAATCGTATCCACCAAAAGCCTAAAAAACAAAAAGCCATGAATAAATTACTCTAGAATGTCTGAAGCACAGATTTATGACCACAAAAACACTTATTGGTGGATCAAGCAACCAGCTCTGTAATAAACCTGATTTTAGTAGCCTATTGTGCCAAATACATTAAGTCCAGAAATGCACAATCAGACTAATTTTCTTTATGGCCCAATTCAATGTAACTCAGAACTGGCAGGATAACCCAGGATTCCTGCTCCACATAGATCAAAGCTAACGGGTGAGGGGTGGGGTGTACATTTTTCTGTCTGACTGCAAAGGGTTTGAAGTTGGATTTTAATACGAAAGTGTGTAGAATATGATTTAGGTAGTCTTAGTTGTACTCAGTCTGTACCATTTTGCAATATTGGATATGGAATTTTGCCAGTTCCTATGGTTTTTAATGCAAAACAAAGCATGGATAGTGTTAGCAAAATGTCGATAAGTGTTTTCATTTAGGGTTAAACTTCATAAATCTGCTATGACTTTGTCAGATATACTCTGCTCTTTAATAATAAAGCAACTTATCTACAATTCATATGACAGTGACATCATTCGTCAGACCTAAAAATCAATAAATATTTTTATTATGAATGTATCAACATAATCATCACATAAACAGTCAACTGTATTTACCAACAAAAACAATATTACTTGTTTATTAGATACAAGAACTAAACCTAAAAGTAATGGATCTTCATTCATTGTCATAATCGGATTCATCAGTAGAAGAAACTGTCGTTTTCATCATCAAAATCACTTTCATCAGGAAATGATTTGTCATTAATTGCAGCAAAGATATCCTATGGGATTTGTTCACCTTCAAACTAATTGATCATGTATTTATGCACTGCTCAAGAGAAGATATCAAGGGAATTGATTGGAAGAACAGACTCCCTAGAAAGGCAGTGGAAGCAGAAAATATTGTTTCAAGAACGAATTAGATAGATTTCTGCTAGAAAATAATATAGGGAGAAAGTATATAGTTTGGGACACGACATGTTAAGTAACTGCCAGGATGATGGAAGGCAAACTAGATGGGCCTTGGTCTTTTTTCGCACAACAAATTCTTATGTTCTTAAGATACAGGGAGCATTAGTGCCAACTATTGACTCTTATCAGTACCTCGGGGTCGTGGTGGACACCAACGTCAGCCTGGACACTGTCCTGAAGGACCGCACTGAAAAGGGGCAAAGGGCACTCTGGTCATGCTCATCCCTCTTCAAGGACAGTAAGGTCCCAATGCAGGTCAAGTTTGTGACATACAAGACCTGTATGTAAACAATCCTCCTTTATGGATCTGAGCTCCTGGGGATGCAGGGAGAGACTTCCTCCAACCCATCTGCAGAGCCCAGGATCAAGCAGTGAGGTGGATTTGTGGGAAATATGGGAAGTGACTGCAGGGAGGGTTGGCTCCAGCTTACACTGACCTGTCGCTAACGCATCCTGGAGGCGGAGTCAGATTCATAGCGCACCGTCTATTTGCCAAGGCCCCTCACATGAGGACCTGAATTGAGCAGCTGGTGCTGAGTAAGCTTGGTACTAGGCATTGGTCTTGAACCTCAAGAATACAGATGTCCGCCAGATGTTGCTGAGGAAACTCTGAGGCTTGGGGCGACAGCTGCTGGATGGCGTTACCTGGAGTCCGAGTTCATGAACACACGTTCATATGTCCAACACCTGGAATCCACCTTGATTGGCTGCAGAGAAGCAAGCAGCTGCTGCTTAAACTCTGCATCCCCATTTAGTAGAACCATCGCTCAATGGAAGGGGATGTGTGCCCGGCTGCGGTCAGGAAAATGGTGGCAATGCTCTCCCACATTTCATGCTGAGAATGTGTTGCCATCGGGAAGCTCGCAGTGAGTTCCTTGTACCTACCACCCAGTGAGGCTCAAACCCGTGCTTGTCAGATGTCGAACGACCACCTAGTGACTATCCCCCTTGGTTGGGAGGGAGGGGGGTGGAAAGCAGGGTCTCCTCAGAATTGAACTGGCTCCAGGGTGGCATGTTCGGCAATGGAAAATTGGAATCGAGCCAGCCCTCATGGTGGTCTCGGTAGTGCGCCACAGACGACCATAGTCCGATAGCCCACCTCTGTCCGTACCTCACAACCAACACAGCTGAAACCCTCATCAACGCCTTTGTCATTTCGTGGCTGGACTATTCTAATGCCCTCCTCACTGGTCTCTCAGCTACACCATACACAAAATTCAATTAACACCGCACAAAACTCTGTTCTCCCATCACACCAGTCCTTGCCAGGCTCCACTGGCTCCCAATTACCAATTTCAAGATCCTCTCACTCGTTTTCAAATCCCTTCAAGCACTCGCACCTCCCAACCTATCCGATTTGCTTACCCCCCACTCCAGCACCTGCTTTCTCCGCTCGACTGGCTCCCGCCTCCTGTTTATCCCTCGTGCCCTCCATTCCACCATCGGTGGCCATGCCTTTAGCCACTACACCCCAAAACTCTGGAACTCTCTCTCTCAATTCCTCCTCTTTCCCCACCTTCAAATCCCACCTAAAGACCTTCATTTTGATCATGCTTATGGTCGCATATCCTCCTCCCCCTTTCTCAGTATCAGACACCGTCACTATCAATCACCCCAGGACGCTACCCCACGTGAATGGCGCTATACAAATGCAGTTGTTGTTGAGCCAAGCAGGCACTGTCTATGACAGCACAGTCAGCCACACTCATAACTTGAAAGGGCAGACAAGTCACAGGGAATCATCATCAGATCCTGTTAACCCTACAAGCCAAAGTCATATTTGAAAAGCGGTGGATAAACTTTCCAGACAAAAATAAAGAGAGATCTATTTGCCATCCAGTAGTTTCCATCCATATTAATATGAATGAAAGTGTGCTTTCTTCCACTTACAGGCAACATAGTGCAACCATTTGGTTTTCTGAATCAGAACTGAATGTGCTGGAAGCAGAAGGCTAGAGTCAGTACCAGAGGTTATTTTGATTTGTTGGAGCATACTTTTCCCTGAAAATAGGTAACTGCACTTCCTCAAGTTTTGGCTTGCCATACAGAGTACAAACAAACTTCTGTAATATTTCTGTAAGCTGATCAACATTTTCTGACGATCCAAGATTTCCAAAAACCTGCAGAAAGGTTTCTGAATCTTCATCCAGCTCTCGTGGACAACCAAGGGGGATAGTCACCCGATTAACTTGGCAGCGCTCGCATAGATTCTGACCAAAATGTTTTGCCAGTGATGTGATATCTATGTAACGTCTTGCATTATTCCCATCGTGTCCCACATCCATTCAGACCTTTTCTTATAACTTGTGGAACAGCAGTGACCTCCAGTAACCTCATCTGTATGAATTATATTAACACTTGCTATATCTGTGTGCTTGCAGCTATATATTTTACGTAAAATGATAACTTATATATGATGATTGAACTAAAAATGTAGAAACTATAAATGTTTTTCTACTCCTATCCCTTATTCTGCCATATTTCTTTGTAATGTAAATGAGCCATAATTAATTGACGGATTCTGCAAAACTGTGCACCCTGATAAAACTAAGACTGCCTAATTCATATTCTACACCATTTTTTGTCTTAAAACCCACTTTCAAACCTTTTGCAATCAGACAGAAAAATAACCCCCCGTAGCTCTTGGACTAACATTACTTCAGTATTTTGTTAGCAACTGTGTAAACATGGTGTTATTTATAAATTGTTTTGTTTTTAAAAACATTTTGTTAGCGTGTCTCAATTTTTTTTATTGGTCAGCCTTTGTATCTGACAAATTGAAATCCATAATTAAAGAGTATCCAAACCAGACTGAGTTCCACAAATGTGTGGCACCTTTGCATAGAAATGTTCTTTGTCTGGAATAGAGTGCACACTCTTCCCCAGAGAAATGAACCCTGCTCACGTCATGCCAGAAAGTAAAAGGCTCGGGTTGATAAGAGCCAAGCCTTGGGGACTTGAGTGCATGCTCTCACTCTGCCTTCATAAAGCATTCAGAGACATCCTCCTACATTTTGACATGTTATATACACCAGCAATACAACTCGAACCTGCATTGGGACTTTGCTATTATTGAAGAGGCAAGAATAACTAGAGTAGCCTTCACCCTTTATCAGCGCTGTCTTAAAGGTCAGTGTCCAAGCAAAGCTTGGTGTCTACCACAATCCCCAGGTACTTTTTCTCAAAGTATTGTTTAAGAATAATAAAAGCTTACTTCACTCCATACGCAAGAATGATAAATCCAATGAGAATCCCTATAGATCCATCCAAATACCAGATAGTAGCGTGGTGTTTGAAGACTTCTGCACTGATCAATATGGAAAAACCCATGATACCTCCAACAAGGGAGTTAAAACCTGCAAAAAAGAAAAGATATGGAACATTATCGTTTATTGCTGGATACCTATTTATATGATAGATTGTTACAAATGAAATATATTTCGGAGCCAGGTTCGGTGATCGATTGGTTCTAAATGAGCTTTAAATCAATTGATGCAAATTTGCTATTGGATCTTCTACCAGGAAATAAATTGTGATGTGATTGGAAAGCATTAAAGGTTGAGAAGCAGAAAGGAGTACAGAGACAGTGGGATACTGCTGTGCGCAATTGGCTGCCGCATTTCGCCCACAAATATACAGTCAATTAACTTTACAGTATATTCTGTGAAGCGCTTTGAGACGTCTAGAAGATGTGAAAAGCGCTATATCAAATGCAAGGATATAAAAAAGGGTACTGAAACAAAAATTAACACTGACAAAAAGGTTACATTTCAAAATTGAAAGGAATTTGATATCTGTAAAGTAACAAATCTGCCAATATTGTGAATAACTTTTTATAGAGATAAATAAAAATTATTTAATGTAAGCCTGTTCAGAAACCGGTTAATTGTTAACAGTTTATAATTCTGTGATTTGTGGGTATTTAGATTGCCTACATTGATCAACCAGTATAAAAGTTAATCAAATTGAAAAATCTAGTTGTCTATAACTTCACATTCATAATGACTTTGGTCAGTAATCTAATCTTTCAGTGAGAGTGCATTTTAAAAAAAACAGAAAATTAGTTTCATTGTGAAACCAGGAATTACTGATAATTCAATAGGTAATTTTTTAAAACTACGAATCCCTTGTCCCAGACATTCTATTGATTCTTTTGCTCTTTTGTATACGACCAAGCAATGTAAAATCATTCCCAGTTGAAAGCATTTTGGAGTAAGAAATCTTACCTAGTTTAGCCCACAAAATTCACAGTATATCCTGTGAAGAGCTTTGAGAAGTCTCGAAGATATGATAAGGCACTATATCAAATGCAAGGATTATTATTATTACTCTGGTTGAAAATTTTAAATTTAAATGTCTGCAGTTAGCTCTCTGAATGTGACATTCACTGAGGACATTAATGTAAACGCCTCTATGATGAATCTCACTAATTGTATATATTTTTCTGTTGCAACATTTTAAAACTACAAAGATCGAATAATGAGTCTATAGATCTGCAAATGTTTGTAGCTTTAATAAACTAGCATAAACCTGACAAATAAGTCCTGACAAACAACATTTTTATTTCCCAGAGGGTTTAAGATCCTTTCAGAACTTTCAAACAAGCACAAATCAATACAATGGCTAGGGTTGGGTAATGCACCTTCAATCTTATCTCTGTTAATCAGTCTGTAATGGTCATGAATAAGAAGTAATGATAACTCTTAAGGGATTGTAAAAGACAAAAGGTTGCAGAAAATCCATTTATATTGGAGGCTGAGATGCTGAGAAAGTTCACACTATTGTAGTTATCAAGAGACATCCACAGAATTTGGTCACTGATTGAACTGGGGTTAAAAATGAGTTTTACCTACATCATTTGAGACTGGCCTACAGGTGAGTGGTTAACAGAATTTGGAGTCTCAAACTGCACAGATGCATCCCAGTTAACTTTGTGAAGGTGATCAGCATATAAAACAGCACCAATGGAAATTATGGGAGGGTTAGAGATCCCAATTCAAAGAGAGTAGGGTAGTGTCTCCCAGTTTCCAAGCCAACAACAATAACACATTACATTTATATTACTCCTTTCATGTTGGAAGGAAGTCCCAAGGTAGCCAACAATTCCCCAGATAAAATTGACCATTCACCTTGATGCTATTTGTGGGACATTGCTACGTGCAAATTGATTGCAGTATTCACTGCACTTTACTGTCCTTCATACCCCACATCCGTGCCTTTCCCCACCTTCGCATCATCACTTGGCTCCACCACTGTTACACACTGCAGGCTGCCAAGACCCTCATACACGCGTTCAATACATCCAGACTGGACTACGAAAATTCCCTGCTTGCCGACCTCCCCAACATCACCCTCCACAGGTTACAGATCATCTAGAACTCTGCTGCCCATGTCCTCTCCCACTCCAGGCTCCGTGACCCTATCACCCCCACCCTCCAGCCTGCTTTAATGCCATCCATGGTCTTGCTCCCCACTACCTCTGCAAGTTCCTAACCCCCGACCAACTTGCCCACCCCCTCCACTCAGCGGGCTACAGCCTGCTTCACGTACCCCACCCCACAATTGACGGGTGAGCCTTCACACACTCTGCCCCCACCTTCTGAAATTCCATCTCGCAGTTCTGAAGCAGCACCTCCTCCCTTGCCTCCTTAAAGACCCGTATCAAGACCCTCCTCTTCGACCATGCCTTCAATCCTTCCCCCCCTGCCCTCCACCCTCCCCGATCCCAACCCCCAGCTTGGGTCCGAAACACTGATTGTCCAGCGCCTTGAGACGTCCTCCCGACATGAAAGGCGCTATACAAATGTAATTTTGTTGTTTACATTAAATCTTGTTAAGAGCTTTGAGTCATTTTGTTAACATCATATAAGGTTCTAAAGGCTCCATATCAAGTGCAAATTTTATTATAGTAACATTATAGAAATTATAGAATTTTAGAAATTAAAAATTAAGACAGGTTTTCTATTAACAATGTACGATGGCAATTGTTGTATAAAAACTACAATCACAACAGTGAAGAAATAGAAATAAAATACATTTTAGCAGTAAATAACATTTTGTAGTGTTAACTAATTTACATTGTATTTACTAAGACTCTAAGACTGATAATATTGGAGACATGTGGAAACATTTGAAAACATGAGTGGCAAAAAACGGTTATAAATGCAACAAACTATTTTTGAAACTGGTGCTGTGTACGCATTTAGTGATCAAATAAACAGCTACTGCACTGTATCTTAAATACTGCTAGGAGGCAGTACAGGGTATCAAACGGCAATAAACGAAGATAACACATCAACCGGAGTATATCAAAACTGTTGTGTACACAAACAAGTCATTTTATAATAAATCTGGATTGTAGAACGCTACCAATTCATTTTAAGATTTTAATTCATTTCAGCGCCTTGGGACGTCCTGATGTGAAAGGCACTACATACATGCAATTTGTTGTTTCTTCATTGAAACATTTGGTATTTCTAATAACTATGCCTAAACACATACAGATATTTATGTTGTGAAATAGATTCAATATGAGAATTGCAGCAAAACTTAATTTTTTAAATATATTTCAGTGGCTTTCCTGGCCTCCTCTCAAGGCACTCAGTCACTGAGTTTGATTCTATAGGTTTTGGAAATCCCAGGTGTACCCACATTTCTTTACATGTGAGCATTTGACCAATGCTGGTTATCACAACTAAACTAATACTATCCTCTCTCAATTTTCACAAACATGCGATTAGAGCTGTTAGGAGCCAGACCTGCCTGCAGTTCCTTTCACCAAACCCGGGGACGCAGAGGCTAATTGCATCACCTCTTGTGTTTTTTGTTTTCTTTTTATTTGCACAGAATACCAGAATTTGGATAATAAATATCAGTAACACATGTTAACTGCTGTGAAATTTCTAGATTGCTGAAATGTTGTCAGGTACTGGGGGAGAAGTGGCTTAGCTTGATGTGGTATAAATAATCATCGAAATGTCAGCACTGGAGGAAGCCATTCAGCCCATTGTACCCAAGGCATTCTGGCTTCCCACAGGTGCCATTTACTCTAATGAGGATTTTTTTTTGTCTGGGTTGTGTCGAAATCAGATTTTTTTTCATTTTTTTTCTTAAACCACCATGTAAGCTAGCTCACAAACAACACTCAGTTTTGTTGTTGTGTTACCCATTCAATCTATTCCATTTCAAAGCACAGTAATATATGCTGTGGCGCCTCAAACAGTTAAACGTGCAATTATTCATTGTGAAATTGCCTTGCTAGCACCTACACCATTGCCAGTCAGGCACAACAGTTAATGAGAAGGAGAATAGAGAATGCATCATTTGCTTTTCAAAGAGTGGCATTCATGTAGTCAGAAAATGCAATGATGTAATAGATTCTACTTACAAGCTATGATAATTATGTTTAAAATTCCCCTGCATTAATCTTAATAAATACATTTATGATTAGGGCCAACTGAAGCTCAAAGAATCAGAGCTGTAAACAACATCAGACCTAAGATAGTGCTACTCATGTAACCTATTTTCCTGTGATGAAATGGAAAAATTATGGTCGTAATATTTCTGACGATTCAAATGCGGGATATCCACTACCTTGATCAAAACACTATTAATTTACTGTACTAATGTGTACTGGTCCCAAACATCATTTGTTTAAGCACAGCTATGAACAATTTGTTACAAAATAAATTAATTGATCACAGGCCAGAAAGTATTAACACTCACCATCAGTTATCAAGGCTTTACTGGTTAGGACTCTCCCAAGCAAAAACTTAACCACGGCCAAAATACTGCAGAGTATTCCACTAATAATGGAGACACTGAAAAGAAAGTCATCCTAAAAAGAAAAAACACATTTTAACGCAATGTCCAAAAATGCATAACATCTAACTTATTTACAATCGGAATGCAATACGAGTATTCTGAGGCACAAACTCCATAAATTTAAGCCTTTTCATCTTAAACTTGTCCTTCTCACTTCTTAATGTCTTACATGGGTTGTGTACTCACTAATAAACATGTTTCGCCACAAAATATACAGTCAATTCACTTTATAGTATAGTCTGCAAAGCGCTTCATCAGGCACTATATGAAATTCAAGAATTATTAATATGATGCAAAACCATCCAGACCAGAAGAATAATTACAACACTCATTTTGTTAAGAAACATTGCAATTTCCAATCTAATGCTAAAGATTAGCTGCAGGTGTGAACGACCCTGATCGGTTATTCTCCCTCCCACTCCCCCAACACAATGGCCTGAAACTGATTCAGCTGCTTCATTAACCATCGGCTTAACTCCAATTGATTTATGTGTTTGTTCAATCAATGAGTGTTCTTGAAGTCCTAATGTCGCAACGAAAATTTGTAACATCTGTGCTATCTCACACTACACGTTCATTACCGGATAGAAGCTTCAATTATTAACAAATCCATATTATCTTGGGCAGTTAGATAACAGCAATCATAAAAGTGACAGATTCGGATGAAGGTGTGCTCTTAAAACCGATTTGCACCTTTCCCTGCTCAGAAAATAAACTAACCTTATCCTACCTTCTGCAATAAAATGGCAGACAATTTCTAGTCAAGGATTATTGTTTGCTTGGGGTCCCTATTTTCCAAGTAATTTCTCCCATGTATTGGATACCCGACTGTTTACCTACTTACATCAGGAAATGGATCCTGACCTCTGCCACCTCTCCAGGCAGCTCTGAGGGAGACTGGAAAGTAATTGCATAGAAAATGTCTGGTTCAAACTAATCTTTTCATTGACCTGTTCCAAATAAGGTATCAAAAGTGAGGTTTAATATTAGTATTTCAATGTGAACATACATGTATTCTTGTTTTTCCTTCTGGCAAATGTGTTATAACAAACATTGCATTGTTAGTGGCAAGAGTGATGAAAACACCTCCAGAACTGAAAACACTAAAAATACATCTTTGCAGAAATCAAATTTGTTTTTTATTGCAGAAAAGAAGATTGATGTTTGCTTTATATTGTGAGATGTGATCCAACATCACTTCATCCACAGAGCTCTGTTAACTAACGTCTTTTAGTGTCACCAGTACTAAAGAACAGGAATGCTACCAGCTCTTTGATAACATTAAGAACAGCCCTTAACACGTTTTTAAGTGATCCAGTGACTATCCCAAGGCCTTTAAGAGAAAAACAAAATCACACCGCCTATATTTATATCGCCGTGATTTGAATCAGTGCATTGATTGTCTGCAATGAACCATTGTCTGAAGATGGTCTGGATAGCTGTGCTCTTGAGTGAATTTCTTTGTGATTGCTCATCTCAGCTCTAATTTATACTGGGTTTTGCAGTAATTCAGCCACAAAAAGCATGGTATGAAATAGACATGGCTGAGATCTCTATAATGCTGAAATCCTGAGACACGATTAAGTATAAGATGACCCTAGTTTGATCTTAGCACCTTTAGACAAATTTAAATGAATTCATTGCATTTCTTTTAAGTACATGTCAGAATATGATGGTCCCACTCCTCTCTCAAATATATTTTAGCTATCCCAAAATATTCTCCAACTTATTGTTATTAATTTCTCACAAAACCAGTAACCAACAAAACCGACTGCAAATTAAATACAGAGTTCAATGAGAGGATGAGGTCAAAGTCATCGGCATGCCCGCAGAAGGAGTAGCTAGTTGCCAGCAACAATGAAGATGCATTCATGGCTGAAGATCCACAAACAGCTTCTCCTCTAGCCCCCGCACCGTCTCATGCGGCATTCCTCAGGACTTGTGTCCTCTCCTCTTTAAGATCTATATGCTCCCTCTCGTGACATCATCCACTGACATGGGATCAACTTCCACATGTATGCAGATGACACTCAATTCTACCTCTCTACCTCCACCCTTGACTCCAGGACCACTGCTGTGCTGACAGAATGTCTATCAGACATCATGTCCTGGATAAGACCTAACTTCCCCCAGTTGAATGTCAACAAGACCGAGGCCCTCCTGATTGGCTCCCATCAGCCCTTCCACAGCATCCAGGGATGCACACTCCACTTCACCTCCGCAACATGGCCCGGCTTCACCACTGCCTCACCTCAGGCCTTCCCAACTCTTCCCTCCACAAGCTGCAGATCATCCAGAATTCTGCAGTTCATGTCTTCTCCTGCACCAGGCTCCATGACCCCATCACCCCCACCCTCGCCCGACTCCACTGGCTCCCCATCCCCCAGAGGATAGAGTTCAAAATCTCATCCTCATTTTCAAGGCCCTCCATGGCTTTGCCTCTGCAAACCTGTTAACCCCATATCAATCTGTCCGCTTCCTCCCCTCAGCAGGCTGTGGCCTGCTCCACGTCCCACACCCAGCCCCCCCTCCATCAGAAAGGCCTTCTGCCCCCACCCTTTGGAACTCCATCCCACATTCCCTTCACCTCGTTCCCTCCTTTGCTTCCTTCAAGGTGCTTCTCAAAACCCTCCTCTTCGACCGCGCCTTTTGCCACACTGCTACCCTCCACCCTTAACAATCCCGACCTCCAGCTCGGATCCAAAATCCTGACTGTCCAGTGTCTTGGGACGTCCTCCCAACGTGAAAGGCTCTATGCAAATGTAATTTTGTATTGTATTGTATTTAAATATATCTAAATGCTGTGATAGACAGCAACAGGGAAGTATCTTCTTTAGAGAGGCCACATAGTGTAAAATGTAAGTCACACCTCATTAGCTAAGGCACATATCAGAGAAATAGCTACACCATCATCTGCTTTGTGTGAAGGAATACAACATATGATCAGTTAGCAGCTAGTCAAAAGAATACAGAGATCAATTAACAACATTTGCAAACTAGATTCAGTGCCTTAATTGCACCTTCTGGATTGTGAATTTCAAAAGGCATCCAATTTATGATCCTCGCCAAACAACAAATTTTTTCAACAGTTGGCAAAGTGTAAGAAAAGGTGGTTGATTTGTTTGTGTTTGACATGTCAGAATCAGCAGATCCAGTGAGCAATTTAGCAGGAGCAGTTATGCACAGGGCGCTAAGCCGTCAGAAAATGACAAGTCCACTTAAAAAAAATCTACAAGAATTACCTTAAAGAACTTAAAGAAAACAATGCTTAAACCCAAGGAAGTAACTTGAGAGGCAGAATTTACAAGCAATAGTCTGCAAAGTAATCAAGGAATTGATTTGAATTTTTAAGAGTGGGTCATCAGTATCAACAAATACAAATGGAAGATGGTATAGACGCAAAGTGAAGGAGATCAGGAAAGTGAATGGTTTATACTTCTATGAAAGTGGAATGGGATATAATAATAATGCTTGCATTTGACACAGATCCTCTCATCCTCTCATTCGAGAAATCGCACAATTTACTGTAAAGTGTAGTGAATGTGTATTTGTAAGCAAACATGGCAGCTATTCTGTGCACAGCAATGTCCCACAAACAGCCATGAAGGGAATTATTTTACTTGGGAGAATGTTGCCCAGGACACTGGGAGTAACTACATTTAAGTAGTGTTTTTCTGTTCAGCTAGAAAACATCAAAGTTCAATTGGCTTACATAACATTAATGCAAATAAGGTGAAACCAGGCCAATATGCAAGACTATGAGTGAGATGCACAGTGGAAAAATGTGAAAAATATTTGACAAATAACTAATCGTCCTGTTATAATACAAAATTACATTTGTGTAATCACGTCGGGCGGATGTCATAAGGCACTGAAGTACAGAAAAGGCCACAGTCCTGTCATTGTCTGTATTTGTACAATGGTTGACAAAACAATTAGCTGCAGATATGGTCAATCAAGTAAGAATAGATAACCGACCAGATATTGAAATATCTCTAACTAATTAAGCAGGTGAAATTTAAGAGATCACAGATCTATACCAATGCCAATCCATCTTCTCCACTCTCCCTGTCCTCAAAAACCCACCTTAAGAACCAGCATTTCAGCCACCTTCCCCCGTTCAAGTGCTTTGGGATATCCTTCCAAAGTGAAAGTAGTTTATGAAGGTAAATTGTTAATGTATTACACCATCTGGCAAAATGCAAAAACTGAAGCCTTGGTGATGAAACTGTGAGTGATGTCATGAAGAGTGGATCAGTGAAGATTTTTTCTTGAAGAAATGTGAAACTGTTTGTCACCGTTGATGAAAACAGCAGAATCTGACAGGAGCGACAGCTTGAAGATAGAGTGAGTGCACTTTAGAGAATACTTAATTGTCTTGCCAATATCAAGAGGATACACACATACTGATAGAAGGAAACCAAAATGAGAAGATGTCACAGCAATAAAAAAAAACTGTAGAGAGACGGGTAACCAATACATCAAAGTTAAATTACTCAATCTGAGAAGAGAAAACATAAAAATACTGCACAGATTGGAAAAGAAGTTACTCAGAAATGGGGAAAATACACTCAGTTTGGTAACAATCTCCAGATGGAAGCTGCCTTCGAGTGACATTTCCACTGAAAGGAAGATTAGATGGAGAAAGAGAGGAGGGGAAGAAATTACTCAGAGAATAAAGGGTAATAGTCAAGTGAGGGAAAAATAGCTACTGATATCTAGATAGCAATAGCAGGAAAGGCAAAAGTTGAGAGGTGGAAAGAAACAGTGCAGTGGGACAACATCCTTTTAAATAGCTTTTCACAGCCATGTCAGTGCAGTTTCTCATTGAAGCAGTTGAATTATGCAACAGTCTGCATTCTACAACCACAACAATTTTACGAGCTTCACAAAGGCATTTCCAAGTTTAACATGTTGTTCAGAAAAAACATTTTTACTTCCCTTGGGCTGAAAGCAGGGATAAGTTTCCAGGTATCTTTATAGTTTCCAAAATGTCGTTCTTTGTGTGTGAGTCTAGAGATTATGGCAAATAGGCTATTTTGTCATAGTGTAGATTCACCCACAAAGAATGGTATTTTGGAAACCATATCTAACTCTCTCCTTTTATAAATGTTTGCTATCTGTTGAGTGTAACAAAATAAACCAGTTTTCAATATTTAATCTTTGACACCTTTAAGCTTCCAATGAATATATACAGCAGCCAATATTGAATAATAACAATAAATCCTTGCATTGGATATAGTGCCTTTCATATCAGGAGGACATTTCAAAGCACTACACAGAATTACTATAAAATGTAGTGTTGGCAAAAGTAGCAGCCAATTTGTTCATAGCAATGTCCCACAAATAATCATGAAGTGAATGACCAATTTTATCTGTGGGATTATTGGTCAGGAGACCAGGAGAAACTATTTTCCCTCTTCAAATAGTCCAGTAGGATCTTTCACACGCAACTGAACAGACAGATGGGGCCTTAGTTTAGTGTCTCAACTGAAGGATGACACCTCCAAAAGTGTTGCACACCTACAGCACTGCACAGGAGGGTCAGCCCAGAGTCACACTATTTCAGGCCAAAGATGTAATTATGAGTTTGAACTCACAATCAAACTCCAAAAGCTGTCTTATCTATACTAATAACAACAAAATGTCTGTCTGTCTGCCAAGAACGCAATACCCAATTGAAATAGAGACAAGATTTATACCTCATCAGAAAGGTCTTGCATGGGGGAGTTCCATGGTTATTTTTTTTTCGGGAATCTCCTATCATAGGTGACCTTAAGCCCCAAAATATGAGGTATGCAATAAAATCACACACCCTTCTACAAAGATACATCTATACTAATAAATTCTGCAACAAAGTAGCAGCAGGATTCCTCCCGCAGGAGTCCTTCCAACAAGGAGTTCTCCCAACAAGGAGTCCTCCCACTGAGTCTTCCCAACAGGAGTCCTCCCAACAGGAGTCGTCCAAATAGCACATTTTCTTAATTTTAAAGATACCTAAGCGAAGATCAAGCCTTTCAAGGACAAATAAAAATGCCAGCCAAAAAAGAGACGGACAATTAAATGAATCTGAAGCAGAAAGAACAGCACAGCTGGACTTCAATGCTGAAAAGCATGCAAGAACATGGCAAAATGAGTTGCCCACTCAAAGAACAGCATGGCTGGACATGGACGCAGAAAGGCATGCAAGAACACAGCAAAATTACGCCCAGTAGCAGAGGTCACTCCATTTAGCTGGGCTCAACTATGATCCAGGCAAATACTATGAATCAAATGGCGCCCATCATATTGGGAATATGTTGAACTTATGTACCCATTGTGGAGCTATGAAATGGGCAAAAGAAGTTCCTTCCACGTGCTGCTCACTTGGCAAGGTGAAACCAGAGCGACTCACAGAGCCACCTGAACCCCTGAAAAGTCTGCTGGATGGCAATCAAGTGATTCTTCGCATTTTTTTTTAGCAAACCTTAGGAAATACAATGTGTGCTTCCAGGTGACCTCTTTTGGCACAACTAGAGAAATTAAAGAGCCAGACTATATGCCAACATTTAAAGTACAAGGACAAGTGTATCCCTTATCAGGATCTCTAAATACTTTACCTAATGAGTTGCCAAAATTCTTACAGATCTATTTCATGATGAACTGAGCTGTGCAGCGTGGAAGCAATGTTCTGGGGTTGAAGGAATCCCTCATACTAGATCTACAAGACATGCTTCACAACAGTAACACATACATCAGGAGCTTCAAGTCCGTAATGGAAAGAATGACTGCAGACGAATATAGAATAATCATCCATGCAGACAATACACCTTCGGTTAGCGTAGCTTTGATGGGATCTTCTATCATTCGTGAGTTATGACCCATCGCACATGTATGGCAGTTTTGCTTAAAGTGTACACACAGTGTTTATGGCATGATAAATGGTTTGTGAGTGCTTTCACTGAAATCTACATTCCGTATTGGATCCTGTGGTTGCAAGCGTAGCTGCAATGGGTACAGCTAGTTACAAATAAAGTAAGTTATCTGTATTATTCCCACAGCCTAATCCAAGAGAGCAATTGTCCTTCAATCATAATGAGGGTAAACAGTTAGGAAAGGGCAAGAAGTAGAAGCTTCTTTTGTTAGTAGGGGTGTCCCAAGAGCCCAAAGATGTGCAATAAATCAAAACATCAAAATCAGTACACCAGACCATTCCTTCATATTTCCACACAGTAAGGAAAAACAATGTACTGTCTTAATAAAATATGCATGACCTATTTTTAGTTCACAAAAGGAAATAGCCACGGAAGGAATAGAACAGATTGTATCATAAAATGGAGACAAACTAAAATAAGTGATTTCACTGTTACATGGAAGGCTTATCAGTAGAAAAGTGATTATATCAGTCTAGCCAAATTGCTTCTCTGGGCTACAACAAGAAAGGAAATAAAATTTAAGCGGTTGGGCAGAACTAAATGAAAAAACAGTGTGACTAGTCTATGTTGTGTGTACAGAAGCAAATTACTTTATGGACACTTTAACATCTTGAATTATTCCTTGAGTAAGTCTAACCAATAAGGATCAAACAACAACAACAAAATTACATTTGTATAGCACCTTTCACGTCGGGAGGATGTCCCAAGGTGCTGGACAGTCAGTGTTTCGGACCAGAGCTGGGGGTCGGGATCGGGGAGGGTGGAGGGCAGGGGGAAGCAGAGTGATCGAAAGCACAGTCGAAGAGGAGGGTCTTGAAGGAGGCACGGGAGGGGGCGAGGTAGAGGGACTGCGGGATGGAGTTCCAGAGGGTGGGGGCAGAGTGTCTGAAGGCCCACCTGCCAATGGTGGGATGGGCAAGGTGGGGGAAGTGAAGCAGACCGGAGCCCGGTGAGCGGAGGGAGCGGGCAGGTTGGTCGGGTTTAGGAGGTCGCAAAGATAGTGGAGAGCAAGGCCATGGAAGGCTTTGAAGGTGAGGACCAGGATCTTGAACTGTATCCTCTGTATGATGGGAAGTCAGTAGAGTCGGGCGAGGATGGGGGTTATAGGATCAAGGAGCCTGGTGAGGGAGAGGACATGGGCTGCAGAGTTCTGGATGATCTGCAACCTATGGAGGGAGGAGTTGGGGATCACAACTGGATTGTTTGTGCTGCGTTTGCCTACAAAATATAGTTACTATTCGACTTGGTGTATGTATCATAATATGCTGGAATTATCAAAAGTAAAGCTATGTTTCATTACTTGCAAAACAGAGCACCATAACAATGAGTTCTAAAGTGTCTGCCGTGACTGCATTTGAAAATGTTATTCAGCCTCAAAACTCAAAAAACAAATAGATCAGGGAACTAACTCATCATATCAACTGTCAGAAACTATAAATGTTGCTTAAAGTATATTCAGTCTATTATTAGAAATTATCACCAGACTTTTCCATTTACACACAGTCTAGATTTTAGACATTTTTGTTTTTTTTACACTATCACTTAAATATCTCCTAATTCTGGAATTTCATAACATCAAGTTTATAGATATAAGATTCTAAATGTTCTTTCGGCCATGCTAAAGTCTATCATAATTCATGCAAAAAATGTGAGTATTGAGCCTACATACATTCATGACAGAATGTGATTACAGATCTTTCAATTTGACTTTCAAGAAATGAAAAGTCATAAAATTGTGATCAGACAAGTCTAGATTGTATTATTTATTGAAGTAAATTAAGATGCAGCAACTGTGAATTCCTTCTGCTGTATTTAGAATGTGCTGACTTAAAGCACAGTTCACCTCCAGAGTATAATCAGTATTTTGATTAAGAATGAATCATCCCATCTATCACTTAAGAGTAGTCTCAGTGTTCTCAAACAATCTCACTAAAGTCTTTCATTTCTTATTTCATTTCCGTATTATGTCTTATATGCTGTCAAAAGAAATGTGAGTATTATCACGTCCAGTGCATTTTACTTTGCCAATTGACGCATTGGCTGCCACATTTCATCCACAAAATACACAGTTCACTTTACAAGATATTCTGTGAAGGGCTTTGAGATGTCTCGAAGACGTGATAAAGCCCCATATCAAAGGCAATGGTCATTATTATTATTATTTTATCTAATGTGCACAAGTTAACTGTCACATTTAACTTGTACAAATCATATGTAGATTTTGAATTACTGCTGACTGCACACATCACTATTTTTTCAAATCAGCAACTGTCAAATGAAAATACTGAATTAAGGATTCAGCTTACCACTTCTGGAAGCAGCTTGGCAGCAAGGTCATGGATGGCTTTAGCCAGAATACAGAAGGTTGATATGAGAAATATCACACCCAAGATGGCACAGGCTCTGTAGAACATAAATTAATGGAAAGTTGACAACTCCCAAACAATAATTTAGCTTTTTTCAATATTCAGAACTCAAAATATTAGTCAAGGTTAGTTTTTCCCTTAAAGAACCCACAAAATACCATATACACTTTTTGGAACATAGGAACAGTAGATGGTCATTCAGCCCATCGAGCCTTTGCCAGTTTGTTAGATCATGGCAGATCTTTTAGTCCCATTTGCTCACCCTTTGTTAATTTTCTTGAGCCAAACCCAAAATACAGTCACACTACTTTAAGAAGTGATACGGTGCTATTTCAAAGGATTATTGTATACTATTGAACATAACATTTACAATTCATACCTTATTTAACAACCTCCTCTACATTGTCAATTTTATTCTTAAAAAATGCGTTCAGAATAATACAAACGATTCATAGATTCAGAAAATAGAGTTAATTTCATTCCGAAAACTTGATCATGAATAACTGTCTTGCCTGCCAATAAACTTTCATAATCTATTTAATCTCAGTATATTTTGCTATCATTGTAATAATGTGATACAATGTAATGAGTCTTGATAAAGACTCTGACTTGATGGTTATTCCAAGCATAGCTTCTTCTTTCTCCTTGAGCCAAAGTTATAATGTTTTTATTGGATAAAAGGTTATTTTATTGTATTAATGCTTCTACACAGTTGCTTTGTGAAAATTAACCACAAAGTAAAGATTCCTCTTGGAATATTCAGTGGAGTTTATATTGATATACTGATAATATACATAGTTCGCTTCGACATTTCCTTTTTAACTCACTTAACTTAAAATCAACACAATTCGAATAATAATGTCTGTTGGATCTTCTTAGAAAATAGTAAAGAAATTCAATAATTGCATAAAATTGGGTAAACATACAAAGGCTTGAATATCAAATATTATAAATGTAGGAAATTCTAAGAAGTCATCATGCTTAGAGCCAAAAGCACACTGATTCAATTTATGTAAATTCTCATCAATTTTCACATTAGGAAATACCCCCCAAAAATTGGTCACTCAATTCACGACTGTTTGTGGGACACTGCTGTGTGTAATTGGCTGCTGCGTTTCGCCCACAAAATATAGTCAATTCACTTTACAGTATACTCTGTGAAGTGCTTTGAGATGTCTCGAAGACGTGATCAGGAGCTGAGTTAATGCAAGGATTATTATTATTCTATAATTGATAATTCACTACATAGCAGTTGGGATACTTCTGTGTACAAATTGATTACCACGCTCTTCTGCAAAATACACAGTCGCTACACGTAGAATAAAGTCAATATCACAACAGATCGGATCTGTGCTTGTTCTTTTAAATACAGAAACACCAACTGAAATTGGGAATGAGGATTGCAGAATTGTTAAGAATCCAATTTAGCTTACACATTTTCCTTCAGATCCACTAAAGGAACCCTAAATTGATTTGGACTGTCCTGTTGCGATGTAATTGCAGATGAGGCTCACTGGCATGGCGCTAAACACAGTTACTTCATATATTGCTTTAAATCTAATTTCTGCTTGAATTTCAGAAGTAATATATGTATCATCATTTTTAAACAAACTTGTTACAGGATCAATTTGTCTCAATTATACAGTCAATGATGTTGACCAGTTTGAATTAGTTATAAGTAACTGGGAAGATATTATTCCAGCCATTTACAGTTGTTAAATCAATAATCATTTTGTTGACAAATCTGAGCCACAAGTACAACCTGGAATTTCTTAACAATTGCAGAACAAATGAAGCTTTATTATTGCCTGAAACTAAATGAGTGATTATGTTTGTACCCGGTTATAATGAGTGTCATCAACGCCATAACAATATTTAATAAGCTGTGTTTGTTTGTCAAGAAAAACATAACTGGGACAAAATGAAACAACTGGAAAATGGATACTAATTACTTTTTTATTTTGTTGGAAGTATATAATTAAGTTGATACAGTCAATGTAGCATTTTATAGACTGCTCACTGACCTATATTTGTATTTAGAGAGATTACACTTGCACTGGTATACTTTTGCCTTCTTAATCAAAAATAATTTCTCATAGTGAGATGCCAGCAGACCAGAGGGCAGTCATTTACATATCAATTTCCTGGTTCCTGAATGGATCAGTGAAGTTCATATCAGGTGGTTCGTAATGGTCTTGCTCAAATCATATTCATGGATCATGGATCGCTAAAATATCTGGAGTAATTTAGCTCATTAAATCAGTGCATTACAATATTCCCAGCTCTTTTAAAATGCATTTTTATGCTTTAAAGAAAGGAAAATTGAACCACCAGTCCTCGAAATAAAAGCAATCCCATCTTTTTTAAAAAAAATCGTACATTGTATTTTAAAACATTATGCAGGAGTGCAGGACCAATATTATTCCATTAGCTTGTAGAATACACTACGTTATTCACAGCGTTACAATTATCACAGACACATAGCTGCATATGTTAATATAGCAACTTATCTATATAAGTATGTGCTCAAAAGATACCAGGTGGTCAATCAACTGGTCATGAAATCAAGCATTTAAAGAGTTTTTATTGGTTCTTCATCAAAGAAAATTTAATTATTTGTAGATTTCAATGGAAACCTGAAATAGGTTTTTCCTATGCGCCCTTTGAACCTTATCACTATTAATTATATGGAAGGAATGTACTTTAAACACGTGTCAAAACAAAATCCCACTTGTGTTCAGACTAACTACTTCAGTGAATGATGCTAATTCTCTTTTTTGAAGAATAAACATGGAGATGTATAAACTATGAATATGTTTGTGTATTTATTGCAAGAATGATGAATATATTTGATCTGATAATTTTTTTAAACCACACTGACTCTTGATCAGCAACTCTCTAAGAATGCTTTCAACTAATTTCAAACAGATGTTATAGATCACATCTTATACCCATCATTGAAGCCAAGAAATTGGATTTGTTATGCTACACCCATCATTCTAACCCTGTGGTGTATTAGGCTGAACTTGCATTTTAGGCTTACTCACACTTAGTTGCCGCAACCAACAGTGAAAGTGTTATTTAAATTTAACAAGGTATCAAATGTTATTGCACGTTTCCTAGCTGTGGCTCATTCTTGTTCCATTCCAATTCTATTGCATTGTATATACTTCCAATTCCACCAATAACTAAGCTCATTTGAGTAGTGAAGACGCTACCATAATGTACCTTTTCTGATAGGAGGCACATAGGTATAAACTCAGATACTGAAAATGCATTTCTGCACTATTTACAGTGAGATTAGCTTTGAGTTTGTGCTGACTCTCGGTCATTACTACTTATTACAAAAAGTAATTTTGGGAACAGCCATATGAACTGTAATGATCTGTTTCAGTCCTATATAGAATCATAGGCCCATCGTGTCTGTGCCGGCTCTTTGAAAAGAGCTATCCAAATCAATCCCACTCCCCCGCTCTCTCCCCATAGCCCTGCAAACTTGTTCTCCCCAAATAATTATTTACTTCTCTTAAATAATAATCCTTGCATTTTGATATAGCGCTTTTCACGTCTTCTCGACATCTCAAAGCACTTCACAGAATACACTGTAAAGTGAATTGACTGCATATTTGTGGGCAAAACGTGGAAGCCAGTTGTGCACAGCAATGTCCCACAAACAGTCGTGGATTGAATTGATCAATTTATTATTGTTTTGTTTTGGAGGGATTATTAGGCGTGTGGAGTAAGGAAACTTGCCCAAGGTTTTGCCCTGCCTGGAATTGAACCCATAAAGTTGTTATCGAACCAGCTTTCAGGTATTGCATTCCAGATCCAAATAACTCGCTGTGTGAAAAAATTTCTCCTCTGTTCCTTTTAACAATTATTTTAAATCTGTCTCCTCAGGTTACCGACCCACCCACCAGTGGAAATAGTTTCTCCTTGTTCATCCTATCGAATCCCCTCATAATTTTGAAATCTAATTCCCTAGTCTATTTTAGCTAAATCCTCTCTCATACCTGCAAAGTTGGTTCTATTTAAATTTAAAACCTTTGCTTCGGAACTTAACTACATCACTCTCTAATTTATTGCTAAATTATGGTCACTCTGCCCTAGAGGATTAGATTAAAGGATATGACAATTTAGTAGACCACCAATGGTAAACTTTTAAAGATATAGTACATAATTCCCAGTGATCACATATTCCCTTGAGGAATAAAAATACCACGGGAAAAGTGGTTCAACCATGGCTAACTAGAGCAGTTAGGGAAAGTATAACATTAAAAGAAGAGACCTATAATACTGCCAAAAAGAGCAGTAAACCCGAGGATTGGGAGGGCTTCAGAGACCAACAAAGAAAATGTAAAAAACTGATTAGGAGGGAGAAAATGGATTATGAGGGCAAACCAGTTAGAAACATAAAACTGCAAGAGTTTTTACAAATACATAAAGAGGAAGAGACTATCAAAAGTGAATGTGAGTCCATTACAGGCAGAGACAGGAGGAATTATAATGGGGGATAAAGAAATGGCAGAGTCATTAAACAAATACTTTGTTTCTGTCTTCACATTAGAAGACACTGAAAACTTACCAAAAATAGAGGGGAGCCAAGAAGCTAATGTTAGTGAGCAACTAAGAATTAGTACAAGGGAAACTGTTGGGATTGAAAAATGACAAATCCCCTGGACCTGATGGCCTGTATCCTAGGATTTTAAAAGAGCTGACTACTGAGATGGTGGATGCTTTGTAACACCACTATTTAAGAAGGGTGGGAGAGAGAAGATGGGGAACTATAGTCCAGTCAGTCTGACATCGGTGGTAGAGAAAATTCTAGAATCCTTAATTAGGAACGTTGTAGTGGGGTACTTAGAGGACTACAACAAGATTAGGCAGAGTCAACATGGCTTTACAAAAGGGAAGTCATGCTTAACAAATCTTTTAAGAGTTTTTTTGAGGATGTAACTAGCAGGTCAGATAGGGGGGAACCAGTAGATGTACTTAGATTTTCAGAAGGCATTCGACAAAGTGCCACATAAAAGGCTG